TTTTTTTTTCCTACGTTATATTTCGTGAATTTTAAAATTTTTCATGTATAATATAATTAAACTTTTACATATTTTGAGTCATTATTTTAAATAATTATTCGAAACATATTCTATTTTTTTATAAATGCATTTAATTTGAATGGTAAAATATATTTTTGCATTATCTGGTAATATTATGTAATTATTAAATAAAGTAAATCTATTTTCTTCATTTTGAATGGATTTTTTTACATCATATACGGACCGATCCCGGTCCGTATTTACATATACAGACCGGGATTGGTCCGTATATTCCCAAAACTGCATCTGTTTCTTGTTTTTTCCTACGTTATATTTCGTGAATTTTAAAATTTTTCATTTATAATATAATTAAATTTTTACATATTTTAAGTAATTATTCTAAACATATTCTATTTTTTTATAAATGCATTTAATTTGAATGGTAAAATATATTTTTGCATTATTTGGTAATATTATGTAATTATTAAATAAAGTAAATCTCTTTTCTTCATCTTGAATGGATTTTTTTCACATGATATACGGACCGATCCCGATCCGTATATACATATACAGACCGGGATCGGTCCGTATATTACCTCACAGCAGCTTTCCCCCTGGGTTTCATTTCCGGTATATACGGCCTTATATGCGGACCGATACCGGTCTGTATATATATATACAGACCGAAATTGGTTTGTATATGCCCCTGAACAACAGCTTTTCATTTTATTTTTTATTTCATTATTAAATCGTTCTACTCTCGTTTAAAACCATAACATTCCGAATGTTTGCAAACCAAAGTGGTTAACCTAAAAAAAAATAATTAATTTTATTTCCTTATGACTTCGAAAGAGCATTACATAAGATTATCTCTAGTGACCTTTAACTTATACGTTCGTGGTTTTGCAACGATATTACTCCGTAGTATCGTAAGATAATTTCAGCTTGACAATCAATGGTTTTGTGGTTCCAAGGGACTGTAAGGTCGATGTACATGCAATTGGTTTTCGCAGGAATGGATTTAGAACACGAGAAGATGGTAATGTCCTTAAATGAAAAGAATAAAAATGTGCACTGGAAGAAGTTTCTGGATTTTTTCTACTATATTCGGACCAAAATCGGTCTAAAAAATGAAAAGCATGGAAGCATCTGGATTCTTTGCATATATTCATACCAATACCGGTCCGTATATATTCATACTTAATTTAATTTAGCTATAAGATAAAAAAATCCCACGGATTGCCTATATTCGGACCAATCCCGGTCTGTATATCTATATACGGACCGAGATCGGTCCGAATATTCCAATCAACAACAGCTTTTATTTTTTTTTTTTGTTATTTTATGCTTAAGTCGTTCTACTCTTGTTTTAAACCGTAACGTTCCGAATGTTGCAAGCGAAAGTGGTTAACCTTAAGAAAAAAAATGAATTTTATTTGCTTATTACTCCGAAAAAGCATTACGTAACATTATCTCTAATAACCTTTAACTTATACGTTCGTGGTTTTTGCAACGATATTACTCCGTAGTATCGAAAGATAATTTCAGCTAGACAATCGATGATTTTATGATTCCGAGGGACTGTAGGGTCGATGTACATGCAATTGGTTTTCGCAGGAATGAATTTAGAACACGAGAAGATGGTAATGTCCTTAAATGAAAAGAATAAAAATGTGCACTGGAAGATATATATTCGGACCGAAATCGGTCCGTAATTAATTTATGCGCCAAATTTTTACCGTCAATTTGAATCTTATTGATTATGCGCTAATTTATTGATATTCAGACCGAGTTCGGTCTGAATATGATTAATGCACCAAAAATTTCCCAGGAAAATTGAAATTTTTCCGAAAAAATTTAAATTTTTTGGTGTGGCGCGCCAATGAGGATTATACGGACCGATTTCAGTCCGTATAAGTCTTATATATATCACTACTTCTCTTCCGTTTCCTTATTTCCTCTTCTTCCTCTCTTTCTGCCTCCCGTCTCCTTCTTTTTCTTCCTTTTTTTTTTTTCTACTTCCCTTCTCCCTCACTTTCTTTCCCTTATACTTCTCTTCTTTTCTCTCTTCCCTTTTCTTTCTCATTTCCTTCTATTTCCTTTTCTTTCCTCTCTTTTTTCTCTCCACTTCTTCATCTTTTCTTTCCTGTTTTTTTTTTTTTTTT